ATGTATATATGAGACAAAGAATAGGAAAAGAAAGTGTACATAAATTGTTTAATGTATGGCAAAAAGGAACTCTCGCGCTGTGGACTTAAATTGTTGGATAATTTAATGTAGAACTGCATTGAGCAATTCACTGAAAGTGTCTGACAAATTGGATTTTTCCTCAACTAATTGAATTTTCCACTTAAACTGCAATTGAGCGTTGTGCAATTTTTCCGCATATCAGAGCTACAACACCGAAAGCCATTATTTGCCTTTGAGCTGAAGCGATTGGAAGTCGTTATGAGGGACTTTATTAAAAAGGCGATGAAGAGAAGGCAATAAATGCGAGATCCTTCTTTGCTTCTGCATTTGCTGTGCGCATAATGTGAATTTCTCGCTAATTATGTGCTAATTCTGTTGAAAGGGCGCTTCGACGATGGTCAGAAAAATTACTCAATTCATTGGCAAGAACGATGCACTTTTATGGGCGAAAGGAAGCCAGATTTGTGTGTGTGTGAATTAACGATAATTTATGGTGTGAAATTTATTCAAATAGAACCCCAAAATATTTATGTTTTCCCTCCCGTCGCCAGCATTGTCCATTTGGACAAGAATTATATGAAAATATTCTCGGCATTTTTTCCACCAAACTTGCGTGTGAATGCTAAATTTATCATTTCGCTTTTCCTCTCTCATGCTTTCCACCGTCAAAAATCCCGATTTCCATTCCTTTATCACATTCAAATGTTATTTTAGCCATTATATTCCACCCTCGCGCGACCGCGGGCAAAAAGGCTCCGGCACAAGGGTTGAGGAATTCCGACTGAGAAATCTCCTCCTTTGAGGATTTATTTGGCATTTTTACTGTTTGCCTATTTTCTGGGCCAACACGTGTTGATCCGCAAATATTTTCACATCATTAAAAGCTCTCATGCGCCAATAAAAGCCATACCATTTTCACCATCGGGGCTGTTTATCATCTTTCTTGCTCCAATCATCAAAACATTTCCACATCGTAATTAATAATTTCCCTTTTCCAGTATCACGATTATTTAGCCAGATAAGCGCCGACGACTTTTTTTTCACTCAATCTCTCACAATTATTGAAATTAAAAGTTCCCATCGCGCGACCGCAAAGTGTAATTTTCTGTTGGAAAAGCGATTAAAAAAGAGAGGCAAATTGGAGGTGCACAGCAGTGTGATAAGGCCACCTTTTTTGCTTCGCTACCGCGCACATGATTTCTCTCCAAATAAAAATTGTCGCAATGTAATTACAGGGAATTTCGCCCAATAACTTTTCAATCATTTAAGGCTCGACCCCTGCAATATTCATCTGCGCCCGTCAGAGATCCATCAACTAATTGATATCACGCCGAAGATGCCAATTTTCTCCGCTGATGTGGAAATCATCAGCTCTTGGACACTTTGCGCGGAGATGCGTGCAAGATCGTGAGATGATTTCCAACCGAGGGGCCAACGCGATGTGATAAGAGAGCAATGCATCGCCACGCGAGATGAAAACCCCGCGTGAATTCGTGCGAAATTGGGCTCTTGAATTATTGGGCATCAGCGTCAAGAGTGACTTAAGCGGATTATTAAATTGATTTCTCGTAAGAAAAAAAATAAACTGTGGGGAAGAAAAAAAGGCCTTAAACGAGCGTTTTATAGCTAGAAATTTCGCGACCCATAAAAGATAATAATTGAGTGTTAAGAGTGCACTTTTTTGGGCAAGAAAATACCCACCATGCACGGCCGAAACATGCAATTTCACGCGAGGCACAGAGGACATAACATTTATATGATGAATGGGTTCTGGAAATATTGGTGACTTGTCAATATTAATTAACAAATTAATTGACTTTTAATGCAAAAAGTCCATATTTGAACGAGTGTGTATGACTTTAATAACCGGCCTGTCTATCGCGTCTGCATCCATAATTTCATATTTATTAAAGACATGGGGCATAAATGAATCGTGTCTCGAACTAATCATTTTCTAGTTACTATCGTGTGGGCTGGTATTTACTCAGTTTTTCCATTAAAATCACTCTCCGTCCCACCGAACGCAGCCAAAGTCGCACAAGAAAAGTGCATTTTGTATATACGAAGCAATCCAATAGCTCCAGACACGTTGTGACTCCGCTTTGCACGACTTATTTCAATAATCCTTGAGTGGACACAAAAGTGGGGAAAATATACAGAGAGAGAGGAAATTATTGTGATTAGTAAAAAGTGCCACTTTTTAAGCCAACGCGATGCACCTTGCGGAATCGTGCCTTTTTTCCCGTCATCTCGCTATTTATCGATTTTATATCACTTATAATTGGCTATTTAATTAATTTTATTGCAATACTGCCCGAGGAGTTTCTGTGGTATAAACATTGTGCTTCAGTTTTGCTCCTGCAGGCGAACAACAGTAGCCGGCGATCTTTGTAGGATCATTACTATTGAAAAAAATGCAGCTGTATTAAAGTTTTGCAAAAAGAAGAGATCATTTTAGTCCAGTTTATCTCTCAAAGAGTGGATATTTTAAATAAATCGATAAATTGATTGAAAGCTTGCCTTGAAATACTTGTTAGACATTTTTTTGATTAAATAAATACAATAAATTCTTTATTATGCTATAAAAATGTATATTTTGTCCGTGAAATTGAGGATGAAGTCATCCTTTAAAATGACTTTTTTACCTCTTTAAAAGTTGTAATTTTATGTCTCCTCTTGCACAATAAAGACACTGAAGGTTTAAGACGGTAAATAAGTCAAAAGACTTCTATTTCTTCAGCAATTCCACCTTCAGTTGAGGTCATTTCATCAATTTTCGACCACCCTCTGCCTTAGAAGATCAATAAAAGAACCTCACGTGAGACAATTCGGAAGTGAAGAGAAGCAATATTAAGTAATTTTGTGAATCACTTTTGCTTCAATTCAATAACGATGGCAATTGAACACGAAATGATATACTCACCCGATGAAGAATCTCTTTTCTTTCTGCGGAAAATTAGCAGTTGCAGTGGATTTTAAGGGGGTGAGAATTGTGACCGCCAACAAATGTTAAATTAAAATATTGTAACAAATTTATTCCATTTGTAACTTGATTTCTTATTTATACATTCAATACATGTGTTTGAATTTAGTTCTTCTCATTAATAATTGTACATAATACGGCTATTTTATACTTAATTGTAATTGCACATGGACAGGAATACATACATATTTACATAAATAATTTATTTACACACATATTAAACTCATTCGTATGACGAGAGAAGGTGAGAACCACTTCACCTTCGCACAAAGTCTCACAAGAAAGTGTCTCTGAATGGGATAAAGAATGGTTTTTTATTATTACGCTAGTTGCCAATTGATTTTCATCACAAAATAACACACAAAAACCCAATTGCAACGATTTCTCACCAAACTCTTATGCATAAAAGTGGTTTAAGGTGGAAAAATTGGTAGTTTTGAGCTCAATAAGAGGAGATGTTCGTCATTAATAATGTAACTGTGGCTCAGGTGGCAATAAATCAAAGAGTTTTCAATTTCAAATGGCGCAAATTATCGTTAAAAATCAATTACAAGTCGAACGAATGCGCCCACGGAGGATTTTTCTCATGCCACACTTTTTGCCACCAAAGTCCATTCGAAAAACCCGAAATTAATTACGTGAAATTCAACTCTTTCTCTCCCCGCGTGTTTGGCTTTTTGTTCTTGGTCATCCTGAGCACCGCAGCATCTTTCTCAGTTACACAAAGTAGGTGCCATAATTTTCTCATCCACTAATTACCCATCATTCCTCCTTAAAGATGTTAAACACATCTCAGCTCTCTGACTCTCTATGCTCTCTCGCTGACTTCTTTTTTTTCCCTAACCATCATCATATGTATGTGGAGTTTGAGAGGTTGCGGTTTTGAATTATGATCTCCTATAATTTATTCTGACGAGATAATTTCAATAATTTCATATCCATCATTCCACATTTACACACAATTTTACCACGCATTTGACTCCTCATCGAGATGGATTCTTCGTCTTCTCCACCATTTCTCCGCCACCTCCTTTCGCGGCATTGCCAGTGAAATTTCGGTAGAGAAAATCCGCCAGATTCTCATGCTCAATCAAAATATTTAGATTAATCGCCATCCGTTGTCTCATTAGGCCATATAGCCAAGTGACCCCCAAAGAACAAAGCCAAATTTCCATAAATTTCCCTTCCTTCTCTCTCTCTGTCTCAATGCCAATTATCTATGCCTTTTTCTCACTCCTCGCGCAGAAAATACTCCCAGCAAATGCGCCCAGATAACAAAAAGCCGCGAAATGTGGAGCGCGAAAAATCATAAAACAGTAAAAGAAGCCTTTACGAGTGCAATTTCCAGGGAGTTTCACCCAAGAATCATTATTAGATCATGAAAGACTCTTTTACAGCCTCCTCTTCGTGCACCTTCAGCACTTCTCAAACCGCGCATCTTAGAGAATCCTTCACACCGCGTGCATTTGATCACAATGACGAATTGCGCCATTTACTGTGCGATTTTTACTATTAGAAAGTGCAGCTGAGACGACAGGCAATTATTGTTACTTAAATTGTCAGCTTATTTGGTAAATTTATCGTCTCTCTTAACTGTTTTCCAGGAGTGCGCGCAGTTTCCGTGGATTCTCAATGTCATAACACACAGTTGTTGCTTTGCATTCCATTTACAATATTCATCCAGTTCATATTCCAATCGGAATAATCATTTCAGTCAATGGAAATGGAGATGAAGTGCCAGTTTTTGTGTCACATGAATGTGAAAAATATCTCACGGAAAGATTTATCTTCAAAATTGGTTTCTGTTTGTCTTTCAGTGTTTAGGCAATTGCAAAAGTGCTGATTTTTCAGAGAGTTTCTTATGGAAATCCTATATTGAAATGAGCCGAAGCGGCTGAAACAGTTTATTCGACAAATATTTTGCATGAAATCATATTAAAAACTGTTCCTGATTCACAGATTGTTCATTTCAGATCTTATAATGTCTTCCTATATTCACAAAATCACAAAACTTTCAGTGATCTCTTAAAATATTCCCAGTCTTGAATTTTCTAACTTTCTAAGAGATTACTGAAAAGTCCTCTTTCACAAAACATCTCGTCAGTTTTAGCTTAACAATAAAGATAGGAATGCTCTAAATCCGAGAGTTTTAACTTACAATCGCGCTACTTAGCTTGGTAGTTTTCTTCAGCATCGTCCAACGTTCAATTGTTTGCAATTGGCAACCTTGTTTTTCGAATACTTGATGAGACTCACTGGTAGGCCGACCTGCGGTGAGCTGGAATAGGACTAGGAGTCGCGGCGGCGCCTCAGACGGTTCGCAGGGCGGACGGCGGCATGCGGGCGAGCTCGGGGGCGTGATGGTGCAGCGCCAGGGCGGGATAGACGGCCTGGCCGAAGTAGGCCGGCTGCAGGCCGCCCAGGGGCGCCGTCATCATGAGCAGCGGGTGCACGGGCAGGTCGTAGGGCAGCGGCGGATGTGGTGGGTACTGCAGGAAGGGAGCCTGCAGGGCCACAGGCGGCGCGTGCGTTATAGGCGGCGGGTGGCGTCTCCCCAGATCCTCCGGGCTGTCCTTGCGATCTGGCGTGATGAGAGATTCTATGGTGAAGGCCCGCTTGGGCCGCGTCGCCCTCTCGCTGGGCAGGTGGGTTGCTGCTGGTGACGGCGTCCTGGGGCGCAGCGGCGGACTCACCACGGCGGCCGGGGCGGCTGGCGATGGTGGCAGCGGCGGTGGCATGGCGTCCGGCAGGCCATCGTGTCCGGTGAAGAAGAAGCGGTTGATGTTGGCCAGGGCGGCCAATTCCTCGTTCAACAGATCCTTGTCCGATTTGTGCAGCTTGAAGCGCTTCCGCCGGCGCAAGAGGCTGCCGTTCTCGAACATGTCAAAAGCCTGAGGATGCAGCGTCCAATATGCGCCCTTGCCGGGCCGATCCGGCCGTCTGGGCACCTTAACGAAACAGTCGTTGAAGCTGAGATTGTGCCGCAGGGAATTCTGCCAGCGCTGCGTGTTCTTCCGGTAGTACGGAAAGCGATCCGTGATGAACTTGTAGATCTCACTGAGTGGCAGCATCTTCTCCGGGGAGCTCCAGATCGCCATGGCCGTCAGGGAGATGTAGGAGTACGGTGGTTTCTGGTCGCCATACGACTCGCGCGATGGTCGAGGCATCTTGCACGCGTCTTTGACCTGTCTTCCTTATCACTCACTCACCCGGCAAAGTTCACTCATGATTCACTCTTTACCGCGCTCGGGCCATTCTCTCCTGGACTCTCTCTCTCTCTCTCTGTGTCTCGAGCAACTGAACAATCGAGTCCTGGGAAAGCCTTCAATTTTCCGGAAAAGCACAAATCAAGATAGGCTGGATAATCACACAGGCGAGAAAGTGTCCCTTCGCCTCCTTATCGATTACACCAACAACTTTTTCAAAGCCCAAACCTCTAGAAATCACGCTCAAGTGCCAAACAGATGATCCTTGGCGCAGTGCGAAAGAATCACCCGACGAGCTGCGTTGTTTGTTCAAGACTGGTTTTTCTCGTGCCTCAGCCGAGGTGCTGAAATGGGGTTTTCTCGTGTCGCTGTCGGGGCGGAGTCACGGCAACCTCCGGCGCGACTGTGCGATTGGCCAGCATCGGAACAATGGTTCCCTCGCTGTGTCAACCCGGAGGCCGTGCCGGCGCGCCGCCGTGCGATTGGCTGATCACGGCGTTGCCGGGACTTTGGTGACTCTTGGGTTGGATGTTGACAAGATTCGCGAGGGCTCTTCTCGCCACTTCGGCCCCCGAAGCGCCACTCAGTCTCACCCGATGATGGATGTTCGTGGGCAAACACGGGATTTTGTGGTGGAGTCAGCAAATGGCATAAATCAACATGTTTATCGTGCTGGCATTCCTGCCTTTTTGGGAGCACTTCCATTAAATCGGATTTCCTGGGGGATATTTTAATGACTACTATTTCTAATGGATTTTCCCTATATATTAAGATATCCTTTTGAACTTTAATGGACTTTAGTTTCTGGGTCTCACTAATTTTATGAGTGATTTTGAGGAAAAAGAAATTTTTTACAATCAAACTTACAATCAGCTTAACGAGTAAGTGAATTTTACTGATTTCATGAAAAATCGTTCGTGGAATACGAACAGAATAATAATAAAATGTGAAGTTAAATATTCCGTTCACAATATTCTGTCGATAATGCAGTTGAATTTGTCCAGAAAAGAGCTTCGAGAAAGTTTACAGACGATGGCAAAGCAGAAACTCTGTTCGGAACTCCAATGCTTCAGCAGCTTCTGTGAAGCATGAGCATATGCTTTGCAGCAATTAATTTGAAATCATGGAAACAGTAAAAACCAATAATAATTATCAGTGAATTGAAGGAAAAAATCCAGAGAAGAAAAGTTGAATAGAAGAATAGATTTTATTTTATCTTTTTATAAAAAAAAATACCATTTTTGCTTTGAATAATAATTTTTTAAGCCTGAATAGCCGCTTTAGGTCGCTTTGGCTCTCACCTCTGTCTCACTTTTGCCTACCTTTTGGTGAAGTCGATGAAACTCAATTCCAAAAACGTGCCATCGTCGCTTCGTCATGAATTTCAGCTTGATTTCAGCTCATTCAGAATTCAAATAAGCCATTCCGAGAAGAATTTTGAGTCAGTCAATCGAGTGAAAAACCACAAAAACCCATTGATTAGCATAAAAAAGCCACAGTTTCTCATGAATATTGCTTTTTATTCGTGTTTTTTTAAATCCTTTCTCAAGTTTTTTTTTCTTGTATTGTTAAATTAATGTAAATAGTACATATAATTTATTTAAACAGCTCTTTCTCAGAATAATTTCTCAATAATACACATTAGTTCGGAAAACTTATGATTCTTCCCTTCTTTCCTGCTGTGTTTTTGCCAGTTCCATGAAAAAAATACAAGATTAGCCAGTTTTCTTGATCTGGTCATATTTTTCAGGCAGGAGAGAAAGGGAATTTTTTTTCTTTATATAATATTGTGGATATGATAAAATTTCCACTCAATGTGAGTGAATCGTTAGTTATTTTTTAAAATTATTATGCAAAATCATTTCAATATGCGGTATTTTCTCAGCAAAATTTCCTCTACTTAATTGAATCTGACTTTTTAAATTGCTGCTGGAAAATTCTTCTGCTCAATTACGACTCTATTCAATTAACATTAAAATTGTATTCTTTTATTATGCATTTATCATCACTTTAGAGGGTGAATCCACAAAAAATAGCCACCCTCTGATCAATTTTTCTCATTTTTCTCATCTTCAATGGAAACATCTTCCCTTCTTTTTTTTTGTTTGTTGTTGTTGTTAAACTACTAAATTGTGCATTGTTTATTTAGTGGTTTTCTCTATCTTCTCGTGCACTTTTTCCACAAGCTCGCTATTTACTATGTATATAAAGTGTGTTTATTTTTTTCTCTCAGAAATGCAAATGAAAAGTTCTATTTTTAATCCATCATCGGTTTCTCAAACTCTGCAATTTTACCAGCTGAGATGCTTTTTCTAGCTTAGCTCAAAAAGAAGAATGCTTAATGTGGAAAAAGAAACAATGGGAGGGAAATTCTAGGGAAAATTGCTCAACTTGTCTCTGTTTTTCATCTCTGTCTGTGCGAGACAAGAAAAACACCGGGAAAATTGCGCTATTTTTCCCTCAAATAAAAACACGCGAAGAATCGCCCCAAGAGAAAAGATATTTGATGCTTCAATTGAATTCAGTCTTTGTGTGTGAACTACAGAACTCATTTAAAAAGAATCTTTATGGTCCTTAACACGAATACCCAAAGAAATTTGGTTCGTTATCATATTTTTCTTCTCTCCTTCCTCTATAAACAAATTATTATTTCCTCCAATTTTTCTTCTTGCTTTTTTCTTTTAACTCTATTGGTCATCAATATTCTGTGATATTTTTCTGTTTTTACTTTCTTTGCTTCTCTAAACGTCATTTTGAGGAAAATAAAAGAACTCTGCAAGAGCGCAAAAATCTACTCCTTGACTTACTTCTCTACAGCAAATTAAGTAAAAGATGGATTCTTTGACTTAAAAATAAAGAAAACAAGAAACTACTGCCGGATCCTCGGTGATCCCACATGGACTTGAGTGACTATTCAGTACACATAGATCGTCTTGAGCTGCGGCTTCAGTTCGGGCGGTATCACCGGAGTCGCTTCGTGGGGTTTCCTCGAGATGAGTCGCTTGAAGCGTCCGCTGAGTTGCCTCTTGAAGCCCTTCAGGCCGTTCCGTTCATTTGCCTGCACGAGTGCATCCTGGAGGAGATGGAGAAAAGGTCCTTTTTTTAGTTCATCAGTCGCGCATTTGGGATTTGTGGGATTTTTAGGTAGAAAAATTCCTCGCATGTGAATTCATCTTCTTTCTCATCTTCTCAATGCTTATATTAAAACGACAGAGAGGTCTTTTTTATAGCTGCACACGATTCACAACAATGGGGAGAAACGAGAACACAACAGGAGATGGCTTGACGAGGAGCGGCAAAAAGTGGAGGGACAAGAACTGGTGGAAGGTTCAAGCGGTCAGTGATCATTCAGAGATCACATGATCTTGCATTTCTTCTCTCTTCTCCACTGAATTTTCAGTCTCACAGATCTCACACAGAGCCAATCGACATTGTTCCCAATTGAGAGATCAGCAAATTAATTAACATTTCTGCTACAAAAAGTCATGTGAATCATTCATCAGGCTGAAGATCAACTCAGTAATTTGAGGAGATTTCATCCCAAAACGATATTTGCTCTCCAGTGATCGTCAAGAGTTGAGGAATTCGACACATTTTGCGTACAAAACTCATACGTTATGGCAAATTTGATCGGGTTTTACTCGGAAAAATCTCAATTGAACCAACTTTGAGGTGATCTTATAGCGCGTGTCTGGATAAAAAGTGGATTGATCTGACAATGCTGTGTGTGGCAAACGTGTGTAAATATTTTAATTAAACATTTTTTGGGTGAATTTTTCCACCTTTCCTCGCGCACAACGCAATATAATATGCTGAAGCTCGCCTTGATGCGCTCTCATGATCATCTTTTAGCATTTCTGGGTCTGACTTTTGTCCCCAAAAAGAAAAATCGTCTCTCACAAGATCACCGATGATCATTAAATATGATGGAGTGAATTGTTAATATTTGTGCCAACGACTTTTTTCCACACCGAATTCTGCTGACCCAATAAACATCTCTCTTTGTCATTCGTGCAAAAGATCCTCGAGTCGCGTTTCCGCATATAAAATTGATTGTCAATCGACGAGCCAAGGATGGCTGCAGCGAGGAAGGAATTGATCATGCATAATCACCACGAGACTCTGTGTGTATATTTTAAAAATTCCACTGCTGTCGTCCAATTGCAAATTTGCAATCGGATGTTTGAAGGCGAGACACACACACGCGCGCATTTTATGACAGGAAATTTAATGTCAAAGCACAGTTCAAAGTTTAACAGCATTCAATTAATTCTTCCACTTTTGAACCGCTCTTTGATAAGGGCTTCGCAGTGAGATTTTTCCAGTCTTGTGGTTTCGTGGCAGCTGTTCAAACAATCTCTCGCGATGACACTCCAATTCCGCTCGCGGGAAGAGTCTCGCGGGAATATTGTGAGTCATGAGACTTATGTGAGCGCCCAAGTGGATGATCAACAAATGCGTGCTAATTACATGAGAAAACGCCCAATTGGCCGATTCACGCGAAAAACTCAATGACTAGCCGTCATTTTCACTTTCATTCGAAATCCGCGCCAAAGTCTCTGTCCCACATTTCCAAACTGTATATAATCACTTTTGCATGTCATTTTCTCAATAGATTTTCCAATTAGGCACGCCTTTTGGCATGTGCCAGAATGCATAACTCTTGCACTGAGACGGTGTCAGGTGGCTTATGCGATTCGTGCGAATTCTGCACTTCTTTCGATTGCATCAAGAACAAAGTTCAATGCAGTGCAACAGTTGGTGGCCTCAGGCGAAAAAAAGTGTCTCTCTAGACAACTCCATTGACCCCGTGTCGATTTTCCAGGACGTCATGATTCCACCGCACACACGAAAGAAGATGGGCATGAGTCGCCCGTGCTATTTCTGAGTACAGCCTTATCAGTCGTGTACTTATTCACGCGTGCACAAATGGTTTGAGAAATAGTTAAGTAAATACGCAAGTGTGACTCAAAATCGATATCATTTTAGCGCGAAATGACAATTTCCCGTGTCTCTAGTTGACTCTATCTTCAAGGGTATGCAGTGGCAATTTTTACACGCGCCCCATTCATATCTTCCGCGAGGATGTCGCGAGTGAAATGACGCACCCCTCGTCGTTAGTTTTTTCTGTGTCTTCCCAATGGCGCCCAGAATTTTTTATCATTCACACACGGAGAAGCGCGGTTAAAAACGTGATGTCCTCGACTGATTACAAACTCAACTAAAAACCAATCAAGAAATTATATTTTTGGAGTGTGCTTTTCCTTGTGGGTTTTATCACCTGAAAATGTCTTATAGACGCGCGATGATGAGTTTCGTTGGGCGTTTGTGAGTGTGTATTTCCAGGAAATTCATGGGATTTCTTTCCCACCTTCGCGGCGTCTGGTTCTTTGACTTTTCTCTCCTCCTCTTCGCCAACGCCATCCGTGTCAATGTGACCGCGATAATTAGATTGGAAAAAGGTGGAGGAAGAGAGCGCGAATGGCACGGCGACTCCCCAATAAAACAAACCACCACAACACATTTGCCAACCATGCAAAGATCATTTCATTCGCGAGCTAAAGAAGGGGGAAAAGACCATGAAGCCAGTGTGAATTTTTATCGCTCTCTCTGTCCTGTTTTTCATAGGTGAAAAAAGATGCTGGAGGAATATCGAAGGCGCGCGCGCGGAGGGTAAGATCAACGAACTCCTTCTCCAGTTCAATCCTCAACCATGAATCTCTTCTCTCACTCGCATGGATCTCTTGCCTTGGAAATTCTTGTTCTCTTTTTCAGAGGCATTGCCCCATCCGCGTATCCCATGAGAAAAGGCGCACACACAACTCCTCGCCTGGCCATCAAAGGGGGAGTTGTGCGCGCTTGTGAGCCAGACGGATGGAAAAAATGCCGTCTTTTCAATCTCTTCCCTTCTTCTCTGGACGCCAAGAGAGATCTTGTCTCTCCTCGCGACTCGTTCGCCATCGCCAAACGACGACGATGATGAGAAGGGAGAATTCCACATGCGGGTTTTTTCTTCAGGGGTTCATCAGAGCAATATGTGGGCTATAAAATAAACTAGACTAGAGACACTTACTTGACTATTAGCACAGTAGAGGTTCGGCTGGGGCGGCAATGGCGGAAAGACCCAGACGCTGGATGGATTCTGCCTGTAGGTGACTGGAGCTTCAGGCACAGCCGGAACGATCTGAGTTGGAGCCTCCACCGTGACTGAGCTGGAGCTCTCTTCGCGTTTCCGTAGTTTACTGCGAACGAGCCGCATTGTCATTAGTGTTCCGTTGCTTCCGACCATATTTCTTCTCTTATTGGCTTCGCTATCACAGGCTGAATGTCCGTTCTCAATCACAAACTTATTGTGTCTTGCGAAGGGGGATTGAGCAAATGTCGCGCGACGAAGAATAAGAAAGTCTTTTAGTCTCTTTGGTGTTTTTTTGATATGATGATCAAATTTCTGCGCAAGTTTATCAACTATTTCCCGTTGAGTCTCTCCAATAGTGTTTCACCACAGTGATCTTCTCACAAATCTCTTCACAAGTCCTACTATTTCTTCCCATCAAGTGTCTCGCGACTTTATCACTCTTGCAACTTCCGCTGGAAGTTGTGTCTTGAGCGCCTCAACAATAAAACTCAACAAAAGCGCCACTGCAAGTGAATTCTACACTGAGAAATTGTATCGAATTACGTGAACAGAACAAACTCTCTTTCTCTCTCTCTTCTCACTTCAACCGTTCGAATGGCTTAGCTTCACATGCAGAATTGGTGAGAAGTGGGCTCACACATGCCGCTTATATATGATACCCGAACACTTGACGTCAGCCGTATTCGGTTCTCGGGCACGAAGATTTTACTTATCGCACTCCTCTGTCTCGCTCTGCCCATCGTGCTTTCGCCCTCTTGGCATCGGGAAAAACTGTACAATCGCTAAACGGTTTGCCTCAAATCTTAAACTCACGGTGCATTTCTTCATCTTTATCACAAGATGCCTCATCACACAATACAAATTGCAATATCTCTGGTCGAAGGTAAAAATTCTCTCCTCTAATCACTGACACAACTTCCATGTGTGGAATATATTCTCCCCACTTCTTATCACCGAGTGAGGAAATTGTGGCAGGAAAAAATTGATAAGCGATTGCTCATCAGTGAATTTTTCCAGAAGAAGAGCACCAACAAAAAGCTATGACGCGTATTTTGCCCCTCAGAAGGCTTTATTATTCCTCTGAATCGCGGTGTTTCGGATGGGATATTAAAAAGGTGACTACATTTAATCACCCTGGCGAGTATTACAATAAACAGCACGAGTAATTGGAATTGAGGTGAAAAGCGTGGATTTGTTAGAGAATTTTTCCATCATTTGATTACATTTGCGACTCGTGATACACTTGAAAGCCTATGTCAAACTCTCTAGGTTATAATGAAAATATCATTTTATTTGCAGTGATTTCCCCTTAGGAAAATCCTTTACTTTGTCATTAACATTTAATTGAAGCTCATATAGCAATTAGAATAGTAGAAAAAACATTGTTTTCACTGGGAAAACCGGCTTTTTAATTTGCAAACACAATGATGAGTTTTAAGAGCAAAAGTAAAAGTAATGAGGTTTAGATTTTTGCCAAACCTCATAACCTTTATAGCCAGTTTTTTTCAGGAAAATTATTTAGTGCGGCGTGTGTTCGTTAATCCTCAAATATATTGCTCATTTTATCTATTAAGTTGAAGTCATATTTCCGCTCATCAGTTTTACCGCTCAGACAATTGCAATTAAGCTCTTCCAACGGAGTAAAAACCCAAAACTTTCAAATCGATTCACCATATCTCATCGATCAAAAAAGGCAGGGAAAAAACTGCACTGGCGAAATAAATGCTAAATTTCATGTCTTTGAGGTCACATTTGGATACTTCTTTGTGGGTACTTTCTTCTCTTTGGCTGTCTCCCTCCTCATTGCCGTAGTTTTTTTTCCCTCTTCTCTGTGCGATCAATCTGACCAGATTGGCTGTTTTTTGCACCGTGACCACACACACAAATCGCGCGCGCAGTGTTGTTAAATAAATATGCCAAACCAATTCAACCGATGCCTTTTTTCGGTTACGAAAAAGGCAGAATGGAAAATTTCGCAAAATTCAATGCGCGAAATTGCGGTGCCGCCATTTGACGGGTAATTTCCGTTAACATTTGCGTCGCGATGCCCATTAAATTTGAAAAAAAATCAATTGTTCCAGGCCACAGAAGACGATTCCACTGCGTGGAAGACTTATCGATTTTCCACACTTGTGGCTCTGTTTTTATTCCCGCTCTTTGTTTTGTATTTATTGGCCTCTGTGGTGTTCTATTGCGAGAGACTCGGCAGTTGGAGGAAATATAAGTTGACTTGCGATACTCTTTTTTCTTACTATTCATGCATACCTGGTGACAAAAAGCAATATATAGACTTCCTCCATGATGTGGTGAAAGAGTCGTGTTTTCGGGGAGTGTTGATTTAGTTAATCCGTGAAATGTAAATTGGTTTTCCGTTGAGGAAACTTTTGAACTTCTTCACACACTTCTTCGGCCACCACACAACACACCGTCGTCCACCTTCCGAAGCGAACACCCAACAGCACCAAGAGATTCAGAGACAGCAACTGGAAGTGGTCGAGTCTCTGAGCTGGCATTTTATATTGACTTTGTAAACGTATATAGCAAGTCTTCTCTCTTTGGCTCTGAGAGAGTGTAAAATAAAAAATTGCGGAATGGAGTGGATGGAACGCCAAGTGGTGGAATAAATTAGTGTGCCTTTTTAGAGACGGCCGCGGTCGCAGTGGGAGGGGGTGGGGCGCGGGAGGGGGACAAGAGAGTGAGACTTGTCCAAGAGAAAAATCCACAAACCCGCCAGAGCGCGCGTAAAAACCCATCACGAGCACGCCAAACGCTTCGCAGAAGGTTTTCCCGTGATGTGTCTTCATCTTCATTCATCATTTCTTGCACTTACACACACTATGTGTGCGATGGTTCAACCTCACCATGAGCCTATTTATAGGCCTGAAAGAATTTCTCATTTAAGGGAAATTATGTTAAGAACTCTACCTGCACGACTGCGTTCTATTTATAGCCTTTGCTGTTGATGGGGGGGAAAAATGTCACCAAGTGCTTTATATAGTGAAATTGTCAATAATTGAATACACCTTTGGCCAGAGGAAAAAATCAACATATTATTCGTGTCATTAATATAAAATGGCATGAGCAAACGGCGTGAATATCTGTGACCGTACATATTGATTGCATTGGAAGGTATATACACCGTAATTATTCACCAAGGTAATATTTTTTCACTTCAATAACACCACAGTCGCTATTTGTGCCATGAAAATTGTGTGTATGATCAACTTTGGTAGTACAATTTTGCATGTATTTCAGCACTTTTTTTTCTTCATTGTATATACAAAAGTCTCAACTGTTGCTGGAAAAATTCCTCTAAAATCCCCCAACAATATGTCCGCATTAAAAAACCACACAAACTTTTGCCACCCAGACTGACTCACAACTTCAACCTTCTCCCTACACAATTCCTCGTGTCACTTTTGTACATAAGAGAGCTCGTCCAGAAGGTGGTTTTCACAGGTGAGAGACGTCAAACGATTTCCACTGTATAATTGTACACTTGCACACGAAGGTGGAAGCATCGAAAAAGATCCACCTACAGTTTCTTCTCCCTTTTTCCTTCTGAAAAATTCATGCAGACAAACGCACACTTGCCATAGGTCATTTTACCAACATATATACCATGAGCAGACAATTGCGATCGTGACATTGAATGGAATTTTTCCACAAGTTCTTTTTGAACGCGCCAGAAAATTACAAAGCCGCCAATTGCAGCACTTTTACGCAAGGGGTAAGTCATCGGAGGGATGAAGAACTGGAGGGATTTTGTGCCCAGTGAAAAGTGCAAAGAATGTCTTGAGCATGTTTTTGAGCACACGAGAATTCTTCCAGTGATGGTACAATTTCGCATTGAAAAGTGCGACAAGGAAGTCAAGGTGAGAAAACCGCATTGGCAGAAGCCTTGTGGTCATCGATCATTGATCGCGATCTTGTCTCAACCGCTCACTCGCAAAATTTCTAATTGCTGATCGTGGCAAAAGTGTGTGCAAAGCTGGAGGAATGGCAAAATGTGCTGAAGTCACTGTCTCTTGGCTGCCTTCACGCGTCGGCAGCACAGACAGAAAGCCACAGACAACATATCACTTGATCCAATTGCCCAGTGTTTGATTACATAGACAGACTGCGACGATCAAATTCTGTCTCACAACCTTTTCAAACACAAAACTCCCATTGCAACAAGAAAGTCCATTAGCTTGCTGCAATTTGCTAATACGATGCCACGCGTGTGCCGCTGACGAGCTCATCTATCGCGTCATTATAATGTAAATTCAACAGAATCCCATGCAATATCTAGTGAGAATATCCATAGGCTTCGCAATAAGAGCGCGCGCGTCATCTGAAAATTTACGTTACAAATCCATAAGTTCAACAATCTCTGAATCACATTCATCATCGCAGCACTCAATATTGGGTCACTAACTGATCGTGTTTCTGTACTGAATTCCATCAAATTGTTCCTGTCAATTATTTCTCACTCAGCCCCAGAATAGAGAGTGTTTTAAATTCTCTGCCGCGGCGCGAAAAATTATATTTACAGGAACATTTTGCATTGTTTAACATCAAAACACCGATTAAGCGGACTTCAACCCAGAAAAATCGGCACCGTGGGTGGATTTAGTGTGAATTTCCCCTGTCGCGATCTCTGTTCATCGTCTTTGCGCGTAATTGGAGACACTCATCCAAAGCTATGGAAATAAACACAGCCAAACATGCGAGGGAAAAAGCTTGGAAGATAAACACTGCGGCGCCCCAATTTCAATTGTTTTGTCCACGCTAAAAAATCATCCACAATCAACACTTTGCGTGACGGAGTGGCGGAAAATATTCTGTTGATCACGGAAAAAAACGCCGCGCATAGCATTATTTCTTGTCTGAGGACTCAAGTGAGAGAAAGAGGAGAAATGTGGGTATCTTTGCCGAATTAAAAGACGCAGAGGCATGAAGAAATGCGCCACAAATTTGCTGAAGAGGAGAGAATCAATTGACCCTCTGTTGATTGGGCAACAATTGAGGCGAATTAATTGATCATCGAATTGGGTGGACGGGTTCAATAAAATGTATTTTTCATTAAATTACCAGCCCTGACGTCAAGCGCAGCCCGCATATTTTCTCCTTTAACCAAAATCACCTTCTACAGAGGTCCATGGAAAGAGACTTCAACCCAAAATGAGATCTTCTGCTCAGCAACAAAACCAAAAGCATGTGAAAATTTGCGATGGAAAAGTTGAGAAGAACCACGCGTAGCGGAAGTGATTATTCTATAGCTCCAATTTCGCAATATTCTCCAATGTGGCATTGAGTGTGTGTTATTACACAAGAATCTACTTAAAAGTCAGTCTCGTTGAGAGAGAGAAAAGTCTCTCACGTCGAGAGGAAATTTAATTACAATTCCAAAAGTAGCTCAAAAGCCTCTCAGTTTTCTTCGATTTATCATCTTTTTCATTTACATTGGAACTCAGCTAGTCTGCTCACTTAACCTTCTTTTTCCCTCTCGTATCTTTCCACACAAATTGATAGGAAATTGGCCAAGCAGAGTCTCTCTCTGCTGAATATGACATTCTTTTATTTATTCTTCCATTGAAAAGTCTTATATCTTATCAATTCCGTGCCCCTTCTTCACTACAATCGCGTGCCATATTATATTCTCTCCGACATATTAATACATTCCCTGGAATCGCGTCAGAAAATTCCCCTTCACAACTTCTCAACATGTTCTCGAGTCTCTGGAGTCAACAATGCAGGGGAATTGCACAACAGAAGTACACCTACATTTGTCTTTTCAATTAGCAATGGATCGCCGCGAGAGCGCGAGTCATTCCATGTGAATGTATTTCCTCTTGAGCGCTTCTATTAGTCATAGAGAATTTTATTTCAAATAAACTACACTTCATCGTGATTTGCCGCTTAATATTTTGCATATACGAAGGTCGGCGAAGAAGTTCTTGTTCTGAAACTGCATTTCTCAAGAACGTGATTTCGAAAAAGAATTCCACACACACAGAGTGGCTCTAAACACGAAACTTGGCACGGAACTAAAAACTGACCATCGCCTTTGCATGCTCACAATCTTTCAACCCGACCTCCGGATATTTACATTTAATTTAGTGAATGTGCGAGCTTTTTTTCACCCAGAGTCTTCCATTCCACGGAAGACCGCAGACGGCACAAAAAAAATATCAGTCTCTGACGCTATTTATAGAATGAAAATTGATTGATTTATTCTTCATGTCATTAAATCTTGGAGTGATAAAGCGCGCGCGTGTGTGTGATGGTGAAGAAAATCGGAAATGCAGGAGAATTGAGATGCTAAGCAACACTCCAAAAAGGTCAATAAACAACCATCGCATCGCCTTTAATTGCTGGCAACTCTCTTGTCTCTCTCTAAATAGCATGGCGATTAAAAGAAATATGACTATGCTGTGTAATTATTGCAATTCCAACCACCTCAATCATGTTCCACCAACGTTCATCGCCGCGTGGAACTCAATAAATATTATTATACAGTTTTATTGTTAGAAATAGCGACAACTAGCCAGAGACTCGTTCGCACATATGATCGACAATTTAATGAATTATTGCACTTCTCAATGCTCTGTCTCATTTAGAATGCAGCGCGAGAAACGAGGAAGATCGCCAAGGAAGGTGATTAGGAGGAAATTGTAGAAAACAATTTCACTGGAGCAATTTCCCGATTAAATATCATTTCGCACGAGGCGGAGAAAATGGGCGTCATAAATTGAGGAATTAAGAACTTTACAAGCCTTTGATACAGCCCACCAATCCTACATATTTAAAATCAAGTGTGAATTGTTTGAATTGATGGTTGTTGAGCAAATTGCAATTTTTTTGTACCACTTCTGTTCCGGGGAAGAATTTTCAATGTCGCACGCATCAAACAAAGCAAATAGATAAAATTGTTAATTGGCAGCAAATAATTCTGCCATTCAATCGCGCAGAGGCATTAAATGATTTCCATTTCCTTCAATAATATATATTGTATGTAGAAAATACTTTTCATTTTTCTCTATTAAATCTTCACAGTGTGAAAATGTTTACATGAATAGACACAAAAGTGACCAGAAAAAAAGCCTCGTGATCACGAGTTTAATAGAAAATTTTCCACTCAGGAGTTTATTATCTATACACAAAGTCCAGCTAAAGTGAAAATATGATTCAGAAAATAACATTTGTGGTAACTATAAATAGTTTAGAATAAGCAATTCAACACAACCAGATAAGAAAAGACCTTTTCTTCTCTTGTCACATCCAATGCACTGCATTGATTCCATATTCAATTGGGAAAATATTGACAAAATTACATGCCTCAAGTGACACTCTAAACTGAATACAATCCAATTAATCCCATCTTGGCCTTGGGCAAGTCGAAATGAAGACAGAGTTTCATTAAAATTCTGCAATACACAATTTAGCCGCAGCTTTTTCTCTCTTTTTTCGTGCTTTGTGTGTCATTGTTGAGGAGCTTTTGATCATGTGATAAGCGCAGTCATTAGCACGTTAAATTGAGGTGGATTTTCACGTGAGGTAAACACACTAAACACCATCCAGCTGGAAAATGCAAAAAGACATCCTTTTCACACTCTTTTCTCTCTCTTGTGTCGCAGATAAGGCGCTTGTTGCCAACTTCTCAGCTGCTAAAGAGTGGGAAAATCCATCTGTTCGCCCATTGTTGTCTTCACGTGGCAACCGAAGAACTTTAATTCAACAAACACGATGATCAAGCCACGCTGCAGACGATTGTGGAAAAGTGATAATGAACATTGATCGGTACATTTAACTTCCAGAAAAAAATTAGCGCTGTGATTAAGGAGAAATGATGGCAAATAAATTGAGAATGATATTTGCTTCAGTGATTTGGTGAAAAATACTTGGCGATTGTCCGTCCAGAGACATTTTACCCACGTGTGAAAATTGCCAAAGAGCACCAAATGTGATAATTATTTGCGGTCTTGATGTGTTTTGTTCATTTTGTGCTTGAGAAAATGAGACACTTGCGTCAAAACCATAATTTCAATTGATGTGTGTAGTCAATAAATGCGAGAAGTTTGTTTGGCACTCTATGGAACAAACAGTTTTCGCTACATCAGTAACACACACACTCTATATATTGATCAATGAGGCGTCTTATTGAACTCCAATTGCTGTGCGCGCGAGACTAGGAAGACTTTCTTGTTTATGGCTTGGCAATAAAAACAGATTTATTTGCATTAGATTCTAAAGCTCATTTGTGCCATTTGGAGGCGCGCGTGATGTAATCCCTTCGGGAAATTTCCCGACATTATCTGATGTGTCTTGTCTTAATTGATAATCAATCATTATTTGTTGAAAGGCGTAGAGAGTGAGACATTCAGTCCATGATTCCGAAGTTCTCATTGTCACGAGGAAAAGCCTAAAGTTCAAGAGATATTTTGAGAGAATTTACCTGATTGTAACTGCGACTAGGACGATTATAACACCAACTAGGAGCATGGCAATAACAACTCCATAAACAACGTTAATAACATCGTCTGGAGCATCTGAAAATATACAAAAGCAAAATGCGAAAGTCACTTAAATGTTTAGAGCATTTCATTGCACACTAAAAACTACACAAAAGCCTTAAAGCCAGTCTGTCGCATTGCGCCAAGTCCACCAATTCTGTCACAAGACGCCAATCACCGTCAGACAGTGAAGATCAGGAAGAGAAGAGAGAGAGACAAATCACTCAGCGAAGGTACTGGCCAGAACCACTCTTGAAAAGCCCCCCCACACGCGTCTTCAGGTGTGCGCACTCACGCATTTTCCTCGCTCTGGCGACTTTGGAAGGTGAACTTGTTGGTCGCATTTCGCTCTGACTGAAGCAACTGACGTCAGAGCGAACCTTACCTTCTGGATGTTCTCTCTTCCCCCAAAAATATCCCAAGCATCGTGCCGACGTCACCGTGGTGAGGCAAGATGCGTGTGATGTTGAAACTTAATGACCCATCACACTTTTCACCGAGAAAATCCCCTTCTCGATGCTCTGGTGAAAATCATTCGCCGCACATATAACCATTTATCAGTTCACACAAGCTAATTCGGGCTCAGTGAGATCTATTTTCGCACCAATGTGGATAAGGTTGCATAAAAATGTACTCGCAAATCTTCCTCAGCAAAATGCTCTTAGTGCACTCTCTAGTTGGCTCAATCGTAATCACACATCGGCAGATGGTGAAATGATGGATTTTGGGTGGATTAAATGTAGATTTGGCGATAAGAAAATTAGCAAATCGCGTGATCGAATGGGCAAAAAGCCGAGAAAATCCCTCAGAGACGTGCGTCAAAACAATGGACAATGGGAATCGCAAGACCCACTGGAAGCGTCAGCCGAGTTTAAGATCAAGGCTTTGCGCCTAATCCGTCAAGTCCATTGAGAAATTTCACCCCCTTTTTACGTAAGCGGGAGATGTTTTGCCGGAATAAAGCGATTAGTAGAAATTAGATCAAATTTTTGAATGGAAAAATTAATCAAATAGGACTTGGATTAAGTAATATCACTTGCAGGAGTTGTTAATCAGCAGAAAAAACAATGGTAAGATGATAATTTGTTGATCAATTGTATTCAATTTTATCATTTTGAAGTGTTTTCTAGTCAGGATTGACTTTTAATTAAATTTTGAAGGTGTTTCTTATCTCAGATTTTACCATAAGCCATTTCTTCTACTCATTTTCCTTTCCAAAGTGGCTCTAGATCACTTTTTAAACTTTCCAAAAAGCAAAACAAGCTCTTCAACACGACCTTCTCCCGTATTATGACACAATTCCATAAAAAAAAAACACAGAGCCGATAGTATTATCTCAAACAAAATACGGTAGTGCTTATCAAAATACCTCAAATGTCTCGATAATGCCTCATAAGACTGTTAAGATCTATGACTTCTTTCATCTCTTCCACGTGATCTTTTCCGTGAATTACAACTTCCCCATCACTCCAGAGATTGCTTGTACAAGTGAAGCCAAAGACACGGCGCGCCTTGAGCAGAGCGCGAGACCTCAATTGAGGAGGAAGGTGACCAAAAAGACCAACATTTTCTCTGACTGACTCTATTTTCTCTGCCAGGATTATTATTATGCATGGGCTTGAGCCATGAATAGCACAAGATTCAAAGTATCAAGTCTATTTTCACCCTCCCTTCGATCGTCTGAACCTCACCTCGTCGCACCCAAGAAAATCACACACGAAAATTCCAATTGAGAGGAACAAATTTGCTATATGTGCAAAATAAATTCAATTACACGGTCAACTTGAGGGTGAGAAAAGCTATAGAGAATCATAGAGCGAAAATTTGTGAAAATCCACTGTTTTGTGGCCAGAAGCAAATCATGGGGAAAATTGAATATCAACATACTGACGCAAATCTCACCCAACAATTGTTAATTCGCTGATGCGAAAACACACATGATAATAATGGCAAACATGTTTTTTGGTGCAAAAATATATATATTGATGAAAAGCCATGTTTTCGCGAGTGAGGAAAAAGCACGGACTTGACATCATCACAGTGAACAGGAAAAATAAAATATCACTGTACGAGGAAGAGCCAGAAAGTCTCTTGGGAGAGAAAGATCTTCATGTGAGATGTCTTTTGGAGTGACACAGGTTTATTTTAGATTGCACGGAGTGTGTGAGATTCTCGGAAATCATTTTGAGATCACCACCCCAGTGCCATAAAACACACATTATGAATCTGTTTGGTACAAAGTGAATAAAAGAAATATTAAGAGAAATGATAAATAGTCTGGCCGCATTTTCCCCGCACTTTTCGAGAAAAAGAGGTCTGATACGCGTCAATTATCATCTACTGACGAAAGTCATTTTCGATTTCAACATTATACTGCGTATTTATCATTTCCTCTCTTCACAGAATTGTCCGACTGAATAAAAACACACAACATGTAATGCGGAAAAGGCTTTTTTTCCTCGCTCTCTGGTATTAACAAGACGTTCGCAAGAGGGATTTCTGATAAATCCACTGCGTTTTGTTTGGGAGTTTAGCGAGAAACTCGTTTTATGCCAGCCGTTTAGAGAAAATAGAGAATGATCATTTGGAATTCACGAGAACACAGAGAGCAGCTCATGATGACGTCAAAGACGTGAAATACAGTTTCGGATGAATACCAAATTAATGCTGTGCTGATGTTGCGCGTGCTGGATGATCCTCTAATGGGCCCAAGAATACAACAACCCGAATCTAGAGGTTAAGCATTTCACAATGGTGTGTTTTGTAACATCTCTGTAAGTGTTTACATGCGAAATTTCATAAAGATCTGACGATCATTAGTCATGCGTCTGGAAATCAGGCGGAGCAGACGATTGTAAGTGAGCGTAGGTGTCTTCATTGAGTGATTGTGATGCTATAAATCAAAACACACCAGCAATAACAATGGAGTGAATGATGTTATTTGGTCACTTTTACCTAATTGAACTGGCGCACGGCGTGACTCATGATAGCACAGCTGCTTCCGTGACTAAATATCAGGCGCAATCAAAACAGATAATAGATGTGTCGCATTGTTGTTTCGGAAGATGTGTGTACAAACCCGAGAATCTCCCACAATCCCAGTAATGCGTAGTTAACGAGACATCAATAAGACCAACAAGAGTGTGATTTGGCACAACATCCCACAACTTTGGCGTACATTAAAAATGTATTTACCACTTCTTTGTCACACACCCGTGCAATACGGAAAATCCCATACAAAATCCCCCTGCGAAACTGAAAATTGTGCAAGGAATGTCAACCTCTTTCGCCTCTCCTCCCTTCCTAAGTAACACAAGAGAAATTCACCGTAAATATATAATCTGGCGCCTATTTAATTTCACTTACAACCAACTGGTATCTTAAGAAACCCCACATCAACGCTAAACCTCATCCAGAATAATCCAGATTAACTGCGAGCAATGCGGAGTGAGAGAGAGTTTGGAAAATCACAAGTATATGCGTGTTGTGTTTGTGGCATCAATTGGGTTTCTTCACATCATTACGGACCTCATAAAATATTTTTCCCCGTTCTTCCTAGAAAAATCACTCACGAACAAGCTTCTCTCCTCAGCGAAAAGACATGAGAAGAAGAAAACAGAACTGACACGCCAATAAACTTAGTAAAATCAATAAAAATTTTTCAGCTGAACTGACATGAAAGAGGATCTATCAACTCTTTTATTCTAAATCGCCTTTTTTTCTCCGCTCTCGACGCTCTATTAACCTGAATTTTTTGGGCTGTAAGGAAAGTCACAGAAACTCTAGTGCGGAGAATTGACAATGTTTTTTCATCCACACTTGTATATTTTGTTGTTGGCGATGCGAAGTGTGGAGAAAAAAAACAGCTTGTATGTAAAGCAGTTCTTTTGATATTATTTAAAAGCCATCAAAGTGGCACTGTGCTTAGTTTTAGACGCGTATAGAAAAATTCCGAATTACATGTGATGATCAAAAAATTCACAATTCGCGCGCTCTGACTTGATAATTGTCAGATATCGTGACAGATGTTGTAAATCTCTTTGTCAAATTTTAAACATTTCAGCAACCTTCAAATTTTACAGCACAATTAAACAGAGAGAGAAAGCTCTAAAAATAAAATTTCCATAACAACAAAAAAAAACTTGTAATCACTCTTTTTTGTGTGTGTGTCTCTTCCCCGTCTCTCTTAAGGCAACATTATTTGGTGACAAATGGAATTTCTCAATGTCTTTTCCTCATAGCTAAATTTAATATTTCTTTCCCGACAATCGCACACCCCTATATGCATATTTATATACTATAGCATTTAAATAAATTGTTTGGGTTCTTCTGCACGGCTTTTCGTCGTCTGCACCAGAGGCAAAAAAAAAACAAAATAAAAGCCGTGCCTCTTCGCAGACATAGTCGTTAAAAATCTTTGGCACTGTCAATCATGAGAGAAATGATTAAAATTCCATTATGCAATCCGTGTGTAACCCTTGCAGGATTTTGTCAATTGATGCCAAAATACCTAAATTCTATCATTTGGTCGCTCTTGAGCAATTGCAAAAGGTGGTTCAAAATGCGCCACTCAGCTGAAATCCTTCAAACACTTCTACATGCAAAAGCTAAAGCACAATATCTCTCAAATGCACCATGGAATGTGCAAAAATTATCACACAAAACCACACTCTCTGGAGTAATGTTTTCCCCTTCAGAAGTCACAATGCCCACCACTTAATGCGATTGTGCTAATTTTCGTGCCGCCCAAAGAGTCAATGTCACTCCAGAAAGGAGAATCAATTGAGGCTAGTATTTGAGTCATGGATTAAAGCGTGAAAGTCAATGGGTGAGGATTAATCAATTGGAATGTCAAATGGCTGGAAATCCTCTCATACAACACAAAACTAAATAATTGTGCGGTCTATCTTTATGGCAGGAAGGACAGAATTCCTCGGGGATTTACACAACTTAATTCAACGTACTTGTGCTCAAAATGCTATCGCGCTCTCAATAATGTGCTGAAAATTGCCATTGATTGAATAGAAAGAACCACCACAGATATAATACACATGATGTGGTTTTTCCCCCTGCACCATCCCAATTTTCTATATTCATCTATTAATAGACTTGCAATCTCCCTCTTACGAGTCTATTTTTTCCTCACGATCCTCACTCTTTTTGCACGACAGTGAGAGAGAGAGTGAGTGAGTACTTTGAACGCTGGCCCACAGAACACACTCTCGCACATATTCAAGCATATATATATTGATTGGGTGTGACTTTTATATAAATATAATTGTGTTAATTATGTCGAACCATTGGTGATTACTATCGTTTGTATTTTCAGTCACCGTCTCGGCGAGGGTGCGAGAGGCCAAGCCAAACATCAAAATAATAAATCGATCGAAAGTGCTTTTCTTGCCACCACCAATTTTCCTCTTTCTCAAAACATTTCTCTCGCCTCCAATAATTGCTCGTGATGACATGGACTCGTGGCCTGTTGCTAAGTCACACAAACGCGAGCGAGAAAATATATAAACTGTTGGATAGATTAAAATACACGCTTATATTCGAAAATGCGAATTTCCGACAACCGACCAGACTTCACACTTATGCTTTGGCCCATTACATTGTAATCTCATAACGATGTCGCGCCGCTCTCATCCGCCTTTTTCTCTGCCGACATTTAGCGACATCGCTTCAGCCAAGTTGTGGCCAAAGAGACGATAATTCAGTCCGTCAAACTCACGAATATGCTATTATGTTACAAGTATTATAGTTTACACTATATTAACCCTTCACATCAACTCCCCCGATTGCAAATGGAACGCAAAACGACAATTAACTTAATCATTCGCATCTCCGAGGGTTAAAGCAGCGGAGGCGCCGGGTGGTGTTCGGGGAAAAGCGCTGCCCTTCCATGTGGCAGATTATTGTGGGTGAAGTATGCAATTAAATTTCATTTATAGCACTTCGAAAGGCCGAATTGCGCTTGACGTTATTCCCCCATAACAATCCCACCATTGCCTATTCTTACGTCTGAATTGATAAGTAGTTTTCAGTTCATCAAACTTGCAACGTATTAAAAGGTATAATTGAAAATTCCTACTCAAATGTATATCTCTCAAAGCTATCAATATTCCACAGAAAAAATAGTAAAAAGGTGTGCAGAGCCAGTAAAAACTAAATACAGCCCAATTCAACTAGAATTTTCTCCACTTTTCCCATCCCATCCTCTCAAATATTAATAAGCACAATAGCAGTTTGGCGCAAGTGAAGCGCTTGAGGTGAAAAAACATCGAGTACAAACACCCCTCGAGGAGAAGCGGCAGAGCTGATGATCTTGAACCTCGTGCGCATTGTCTCGTGGTGACAAGGAATTTTCCCAATTATATGCATGGCGACAGGGTAAGTCACCATCAGAGAACAATTGGAGGATAATTTCATGCATCTTTTTCACACATCGTCTCGCAATTTCACGGAATACGCCAGTGAGACAGAAAAGCGCCTGAAAACAACCCGCGTGATTTACAGATCCCCTCAATTGTTTATACAATTAATGCTTGAGTATCTCATGAAAAATCAACATTTCACCTATCCAGAGTTTTCCATTCCCCACCCCAAAAAAGTGTTTATCACACGATGAATGAGCGCATCATGAGGAAAATTAATTCTTCACGTTTAACCACGCAATTGCAAAAAATATACGCTATAATTGATCCTCTCTCGTCGTATTTTCCATCCATCAGAATATTTCATCAGCTCAACATCACATAGAGTTCTCAATGGAGGCTCGCCAATGCGTCACAACCATACAAAAGCCCCCCAGAAAAATTCCCCAAAACAGACATAAATTACCTCTTTTTTGGCAATATCGTGAGCACTTGAGCTCTTGCACCTTTGAAAATTCACAGGAGAGTCAATCGCCAATGTGCGCAACAAAACAACACTTGAGAGAATCGGTTCAATGTTTATGTTTGCATAGAAATTCTGTGCGCACTTCCCAGGGCTCGTGTAGTGAAATTGTAGCCATAATAACGAAAGGGAGAACCCTGGATTAATTAATTGTGGAAAATGCGCGCTCTTTTGATATGGTCAATCTTGACCCACTTTCTACCCAGACTTGACAGATTTTTTTTTCGCGGAATCGTCAAGCAATAAAAAGATCAATGAATAGGTGTCGATATCTTTCTGTGGTGTGTCTCGATAATCCCTCGAGAGACTCACTGATGAAGCGGCAATAAGTCATTGTTTTTCTGCGGTTTCCAGACACAAACATTCGTGAAGTCAATAAAATACATTGTGCCAATTTTATTTTTGGGTAGCATCAAAAGAATTCAATAGCAAATGAGTGATTTCCTTTCCGAAGAACAGTCGAGAATTCTGGGGGGAATGTTACACAATTTCCCGTAGTGATAACCGCGGAAGAGTCAGCGACTTGTGCAAAAAGCCGAATAAGAGGCCACACAATTGTAATACTGGCTGGCACATAAGCAAAGAAAGCGAGACGAGGCGAAAAAAGTCCCTCATAAATTGAGTAAAAAATGATAATTTACAGCTCTTCATGCAGTTGTATCATGTTATCATGCGATAACGCTCCATCTTATCAGTGTTAATATCGAGATTTCGCGCAGCGAGTGGAGAAAAATGCCTGACAAACACATTTCAATGTGATTTGCATGTTTACTTGGGGGCAGGAAGAAAAAAAAGAATAAACTAAATAAAACCCCTTTTTCATCTCCGGCCTCTCAAGCAGCTGTTCTGGCTGAATTGCCTTTATAAAATTACATATATATGAGTAAAGATTGTGAGGTGAATGAGCAAAAATCCTCTCCGCGAAGCTCAAATTGGACGCGGAGAAGGTTATAACTCTCTCGTGTTAATGTTAAGGTTAGAGGAGCAAAAGAGCCATCAACATTGGATGTGTTTTGTGTGAAATGCATGCGGAGAAAGAAGTGAATTGCGAAGCATTAATTACCAAGCCCAAAAGCCAAAAAATAGGAGGTTGTTTGTCAAATGCACCATTGGAACTTAATCAATTCATACTATTGATCTTTCCACTTACCAAGGTGCGATAATGACGATAGTTCAGAATCTGAAAATATGAAAATTATCTATGTTTATTCTGTCTTCGGTCTGTGCTCTATAGAATTAATGATCTCTGCGTCTCTAAATGCCACCCCCAAAATGTCCACTGATCTCTTATGTGTGGTGTTGCGAATGGCATGGGAATTAAGCATATCGAATGACAATGGGTAAAATGAGAGATACTGTAATTTTCCCAATGGAAAAACAAGGAGTATCAATTCATCCAATAATGGATATTTTATCAAATGCGAACGTCACACTGGCGTGGTGAGACAACAAGTCGAAACCACCGCCAAACAGATAATTTATCGCGCAGGAAAAACAGGAAAATGATTCGCGTGTCTCCTTCAAATTAAATATATCCTGCCGGTCACACGCCAATGTATGTTTTTGAACTTGAAAAGGAGCTTTGCATTAACGATCAGTTGGTCAATCAATACTCCACTTTTCCCCTTGATTAATTTTTCAACAGACACGCTTTTATATCTGACAATTGCGCCTCAAACGCGACAAGAGGGAAGTCTTTACGTGTTTTCAGCATTAATAAATTATCTGCTTTCCCGGCACACAATTCGTTTCCAACGCGACACCTTGAGAAACATTGCAAATGCTAAATGTGTGGCTAAAAGCTCGCGTCTGTGTGTGGCTGTAAATGTCGATGAAAGCTTTGAATGATGTGTCTTCGATGAGCTGGAGAGTTTCGATGGAGACTTTCGAGAAGCTCGTTAAATGCTTAAACACACACAAAGCTCACTGGAGAGTGCCATTGAGTGGCTTAGCCAGCACAGGTGCAACACGATCAACGGTCGTTGTTAGGTTTACACACAACATAAAGCTCACACAGGTGCAACAGATCAATTTCAAGAGAGAGAGAGCGCAACAAAGGAAGAGAGATGCTCTAGTTTTTCCTTATAGATAAAAAGCGAGAAAAGAAACTCACCAGTGTCATTGAGCAATCCTTGGATGTCATTGTTGTCTATGTCACCCCCATCTCCATACCCTGCAAAAGACAAGAGAGGCACGCATTAGTCACCTAATCGCAGGCCCCCCGGAGACATTGGACATTTTGTGTATCGTGTGCACTTGAACTCTGCGAGACATTTTCACAACACGCCGCGCAGTGGGAAAAATAAACACCGCGCGCGATGCTCTTCAAGTCAAGTGCCACACGCAGATTGGATGGCCTATTGCAAAATTCGATAATGGGTAAATTTCCGCGATAAACGCATGACGGTGAAGTTGATGTCTTTCTTCATCTTGGTGGGCCATTAAAATTCCGCCAAAGTACACGAGTTTTTGTTGAAACAATTGTGCTGGAGGAAAAATATTTGACAACATCACTGAGTATCGTCACGTCCTTTTCACCTCAATTCTTTCTTGTCTTTGTATACAATTTATTTGTAGCTGAAAAATTGCCTAATAGCAATTCACACGAAAAAGCTCTTCCACCAAAATATGACTAATATTGTGTCTGTCCGAAGGACAGAAGAATTGACATTGCAGTGAATTTGAGGATGGGCATCATCAACTCTGCAACGTAACCCAGAAAAACCATCAGATTTCCATCCAAACTCTTGTCAGGGTTATGAAACTGAAACACTCTCCATTTCTAGTTCATAAAGCGTGTGTTGTATAAGAAATTATTGGGCGCAAAATTTGGCCTAATATTTGAACATTTGTATGAGGCCAAAAACAGAGTGGCAACATTGGAATTATTTTGCAGTTTTTTGGCAATTTGTTCTATTTGTTTTCCCATTCAAAACATTCTTCAGTTGTGCAGTTAGCTTAACTGCTGAGCTCACCATAGACGCGAAATGCGCGAAATACTAAAAAGTGCGCGATGATTATCGATCAATTCAAGAGTATGGATTATCTTATTATTGTGTGCGATTACCTGATGAATCATTGGATGATTGCCTCTGCAATTGATATCCCAGCAAATTGATCATAATCACAAAGTGATGATTTCTCCAAGTTAAATGCGATTAATCAAATTATTCCTAAACTCCTTCCGCCTTTGCTCACCGCGCCGCGCACCATTGAAAAAAATGACACTTTTTGCCGACAATTTGCAATTAATGACATAAACTTTTGATGATTTTCCACGAGAAGAAGCAAACAACTTCCCAAATTACTGTCTCCTCTCCATTTTTGGACACAGACAGACAGACAGAAAAAAAACAATGAATGGAGAGGAGAAAGTAATTCACATTAATAGCTTTTTAATTATTCCTAATTTGTCGCACATTTCTTTCCCCCCTCACTTAGATAAATATTTAACTGGCGACAAGCCTCCTCTGGAGCTTCAACTTGAATAATTTTCCAAGCAAATTCAAGTGGAAAACACTATGGAAAGGATTTGGAATTAAGTCGAGTGGCGAGACAAACGCCCCCAAAAACAACTTCCTTGGAGTATTTCCTCATAGTAATAAAATGCTTAGCAGCTCCTAAGCAATTCACTATAATATTGGCTGTTATCGCCCGCTTATCAAGATGATTCTCGCGCTCTCTTATGTGTTTTTGAACACTGACAGGCTCGTGACAATTTTATCACCACGGTAAAATGTGTGAAAACCCCATCGAAAAGAATACGTGAATGCCTTATCAAGGCACCTGAGCTATATTTGTTGAACAATCCACCCCTTTTTCCTTATTTTCATCATCATCTCTCGTCACCTCCAATATCGCGCAATTTCTCTGGCACAGTTCGCCTTCACTGGGTCTCCACATATCGTAGGATTTGCTAAGAAGGTGAAAATTGTGAGGTGAAAAATTACTCAATGGTAACATTAAAATACACATTTCTTCTCCACTACAATTGCATCATACAATTACTAGTTGAGGAAAGTTGAGCTAAATTGGCCACCATCCAACAAATCGAGCCACAGAGAAACGTTTTGTTTCGATGTCTTATCACAAAAATTATTCAATCCATCATTTATTGGCCTGTTGAGCCACAAAGAGAAATTTCTTTCGCAAAATACACCCAAGACGAGAATCACACACGCGATTGCTATCAATGAAATTGAGAGTCTGCGCCAGAGAGTTTGAGACTATAATTTAGTGAGCCAAGAAACACAACATTGTGGGCAAAAGGTCGTCTTCTCGGGGAAGGAGAGTAAGAGAAATTATGCAATGAGATCAGCAAGATCCCAATCTCCATATGTGATCTCATTTTCTCCACCTCACAGCACAATTTCACGATGATATCACTCGCAATTCAACACCATAAACCTCTTTTTCCCGATATTATTACCATCAAAACTCGCGTTTGCCACCATCTAAAGACGCTCTCAAGCTCACTTTTCAAAAGCACTCCTTTTCTTCAACACTTTTTCGGCAGAAAGCATCACGTGAAAAGGAATTGAAAGTTGTGTTGGCAGAACAAATGTCGAGAATATACTGAAGTGACTTAATTCTGATAACAACCATGAGACTTTCAGAACAATATATCGTATTCCAAAATACAGTATGACCACTTGAGGTTGTCACAAGCTCAGTACATAGGAGATTAATTCAATAAAATTTATAGCACACACATTTTCATGCCAATCACCAAATGGTGACCATCAGAGTCAATAATGTCTCAATAGAGCACTTTTTTCGCTCACCAACAGTGCGAAACGCGCTCAAATCTCTACGTCAATGTACTCTTCAGGGATTAAACTGATTGTAGACGACAACATGATATTTGTTTATCACTGTACTTGAGGATTTACCCGGTATTTCTATGTGAGAGGAATTACAGATGTGATCAAAACTATACGACATTGTGTTATTATATAACATAAAATGCCTTGTAAAATGCAGAAATATCCGCTGTTTCCTTTCTCCACGCCCCAGAAGAGACTCTAATCTGACTGTCTTATCTTAATGATCTCTTCCACGAAATGTGATCGTAAGAATTTTGATAGCCACTGTATTTGCATAGAAAGTTTTATCTGTCTTAAGGTTTCCGTCTCTCAACCCTCACCTAAATTCTTGACTGGTGACAGGAATATCTTGACATTATTCTTTGAAGAATCCTCTCGAGGAATTCACTTGGAGGAATTTCTCGCAGGTAATTTTCCCGGTTAAAGAGAAAATCACCGGCAAAATTCCCCCACAAACACACCTGAGGAATTCCACCTTATCGCTTTTGCTATTTCATCGCGCCACTATGTTTGTTCATATTGAAAGTATGCAAGAGAGAAAAAAAGGGAGACGTTGTCAATATTGTCACTCACGATGTCTTCCCAGTGTATTTCTCTGGTCACTGATTAGATAAAGCAGCAATTTATCGGGGAAATCTTGCTATGTATTTTCATCAATTTCTAGAATTGGAATTTAGGTAACGTGATTTGGTCGCGTCCTCATTAAAAACTGGCGCTAAAGTCACACTAACTTGCGGTGACAGAGTGTGTGAAAAACAATAAAAACCACATGATAAAAACGTGAGTTAGATCACGTTTCTCTAAATTGATATCAGCTGAGATTTCATTGCAATTCCACCCGTTTAATGAGATTGATGCTTAACTCTGGCAAATTGATTCCAATTGCCGCCCATCAACATTGTCAACAATCGTCCAGCTTGTGGCGAATTATGAAATGATGACACGACAAACTTCCGCGCTCATCATTGCGGAATATTTTTCTTGATCGCCGAAACGTCCAGAAAGCGACAGAGAGAGAGAGAGAGAGAGAAGCTGATGGAAATTACGCCCTGGGGACGAAGAGTAAACATACAATAAATTAACAACAGTCGCCAGCCTCGTTAATCTGCTTAGAGAATGAGACTTCAATTGAGGTAAATTGATTGCGATAATGAATTAAAGTGTCGCGTGATATATTCTCTCTCGCCCAGAGAATCCATTCATCATAAAATCTGTTCAATGATTTCTTTCATACAAACCAATGAAAAGTCGTGGGGAAAATTCCATCAATGAAAGTAATTCAGGTCATTACCTTCTGCCTCACAAGCTGTTCAAACACAATCTATATATCACAAAGTGCAGGTGTGGCAGAGGAATCAATCTCTCTCTTCAAGACCAAAAACACCATCTATTAATGAAAAATGTGTATCAAATGCGTTCATCAATGTCTCACTGTCTCTCCTCAAAGTTCATTAACGTGGAGGTTAAGGTAAAAAATATCTACATAAAAAGCTCTCTTGAGGCCCTTCAACGGATTTGATGTCGGAAAGAAAAATTGTGGTGTCACTGGGAAGATAAGAAACTCAAATAGATTAAGTCACAATCTGTGACAGCATCTCTCTTGAGATTTAGAGCCACCGTTTTACGTGAATGCAAACTGTTTGCCTCATTTTTCCATGGAACTTTTATTATTTGGCCTCTTCTCTTTGGCCCAAGATCACAACTTTAGGCTTCGAGATATTCTACGAAAACTTGAAATGTTTCTCCGCAGTTCATATATCGCCACAAACATCTCATGAATGTTTTTCTCATGAAATCTTCAAATTTCATTGCCCAAAATTGTTTTTCTGTGCTGGCTTTCTGACGATGTTCTTGATTAAACTAATTTTCTTCCTCATTGTTCTGACGCTGTTTTCTCATCTCTTCTCTCGCGATGTTAAGAAAAACACATCATGATAAATTCACTTTCGTTTTGTTATTACAAAATTTTTATATACATTTATCTCCGCGTGGAATCGCAAAGAACACGAAATTCATGTCACTTAATTACTTCACAGGAAATATTAATGAATGAATAAACTTTTTCATATACCCTTAATTAATCATCACGTGTAAGCTTTTTATCATTTATATTTACCGTCGATAAATTTTAAACCATTCCAAAAGAGGAACACAAGAATATATTGACAAATTCTGACGTCAATGACGAGCAATTTAATGCAAATAACACTCGCTTATCACCAGTCATGTTGGATAAAGATGTTCTCTTTTCTGAGAAAGAGAGTTTATCGACTCATTGTGCTAATTTTTAGCCACCTTTTCTCTATTTGTCACTCAGGTGGGAGATGCCTTGAATGGCATATATGAT